TAAAATGATCAATCCCCTGAAAAAGTTAAGTCGGTGAAAATGAGTATTTATGAATGGCTTCTTATGTTACTTTAGGCTGTTACCTAATACAAGTTTTTTTCTGAGAAGTATTCGTTCATCCAATCATTTGTTAATTCAGCACAATTTATAGAGTATCTACTGTGCATCATGCACTATGGTAAAGAAGACAAATGCAATCCTTTATATTTTATTGTCTTTTATTGTTATTAAATACTATCATATATTTTTTAAACTTAAATATATATATATATATTTTGTTGTTGTTGTTGTTGAGACAGAGTCTTATTCTGTCACCCAGGTTGGAGTTAAATGGCGTGATCTCGGGTGACTGCAACCTCTGCCTCCCAGGTTCAAGCAATTTCTCCTGCCTCAGCCTCCTGAGTAGCTGGGATTACAGGCATGCGCCACCACACCCATCTAATTTTTGTATTTTTAGCAGAGACAGAGTTTCGCTATGTTGGCTAGGCTGGTCTTGAACTCCTGACCTCAAGTCATCCTCCTACCTCAGCCTCCCAAAGTGCTGGGACTACAGGAGTGAGCCACAGCAGCTGGCCTCCACTTGGACAAATATTTTTTATAATATAGTTTTAAAAACTGATAAGTAAAAAGAAACAAGAATATCTATTGTCGTTTAATTTTTTAAGTGAAGGACAATCACAGAGTGACTTTTGTTTGCCAGCTTAATTTTGCTTTGTAAAGAAAAAACAGCTGAGGAGGAAGAGGGAGGCAGAAAAGGATTCAATCAGGTTTTAGCCATTTCTTTAATATTTTGATTATTTTTAAAATTCTGAAGCATATGTCAAAATGTTAACATTTGTTAAATCTGGAATTGGAAACATGGATATATATTATATTATTTTCTATGCTTTTCTGCATATTTGAAAATGTTTCTAAGTAAAATTAAATAAATATATTTTATTTGAAGTAGTAAGATTGCTTGAGTCCAGGAGTTCAAGACCAGTGTGGGCAGCATAGTGAGACCTCATCTCTACAAAAATTTTTTTTTACATTAGCTGGGCATGGTGGCCCAAGCCTGTAGTCTCAGCTACTCAGGAGGCTGAGGTAGGAGGATTGCTTGCACCCAGGAGTTGGAGGCTGCAGTGAGCTGTGATCATGCCACTGCACTCCAGCCCCGGTGACACAATGAGACCCTATCTCTAAAAAAATAAAAAATGTTTTAAAAATTGATTTGGAAAATAATCTGATTGTGGTACTGGTTACACAAATCTATACATCAGATAAGATTTTATAGAACTATATAACCACCATAAAAAATGAATACATATAAAACTAGTTCAATCGAAACAATGCCTGCAGTTTCATATTGTGGCAATGTCTATTTCCTGGTTTTAATAATTAGAGGAGGTAAAATGTAATCACTGGGGGAAGCTGAATGAAAGCTACATGGAAATTTAGTGTACTATTTTTGCAACTTCCATGAGAATCTAAAATGACTTAAAAGCTGTATTTTTAAAAAGAGTTTAACTGGAGAGATTGTTTTGAGATTTTTTTTTTTTTTTTTAAATGAAATTCTAAGCTGGGATGTGGTGGCTCACGCCTATAATCTCAGCACTTTGGGAGGCCAAGGCGGGCAGACAACCTGGGGTCAGCAGTTCAAGACCAGCCTGGCAATATGGTGAAACCCTGTCTCTACTACAAACACAAAAATTATCCGGGCATGGTGATGTGCACCTGTTATTCCACCTACTTGGCAGGCAGAGGCAGAAGAATCGCTTGAACCTGGGAGGTGGAGGTTGCAGTGAGCCGAGATGGCATCATTGCATTCCAGCCTGGGTGTCAAGAGTGAAACTCTGACTCAAAAGAAAAAAAGAAAAAAAATTAAAATGTTCAAGTTATTCTGCTACCTGAATGTCATACCAGTGGTCAGAATTTAGACTTTTAGAATCATGTTTGTAAGTGATTCTCTGGGTAATAATCCCAGGCTATAAAGCAAGTACTTTGCAAACGCTCTGCTCCCTCCTAGCATTGGATGATCCATCTGTGCTCAAGGGGCTCACACTCCGTGGGTGCCCCCAAAGAGGCAGACTTATGATCAGCTATAATGACATCCAGCTTTAGAAAGAAATCCATTTCCTCTCACTGTAGGGGGTAGACTCAGCTCATATAAATGCTGAGGAAGCCTTGTAGTTCTTGTGATACAAAACCAGGCAGCTGCCATCGTTAGAAACGCAAACCATTAAGTAACTGCATGGAACCACAGCAAGAAAGTTCCAAGTTAGCGGTGCTGCTGCAGAGTGCTCTGCAGAAGGCAGGATTATCGATTCAGCACAAAGCTGAAGGCAAGAACTCATGGTATTTCGCCATGATGGCTAGTGATATTCATGGGACCTGGAAGTCCTATACTGTCTCTGCATGTTTGATATGCACATTTTAATGTTGTCTGTGGACAATACTGGTTGTTGCGACAGGTCACTTGTGCCGTAAAAAGAATGTCTGGCACCTCTAATTACAGGGGAAGTGGCAGCTCGCAGGGGCCGGGGATGGGGAGCTGGAGGCTCATCCCTGCAGCACCGCCACCACATTTCTTTTGTTCCTGACCTTCTCCAATTGGTAGATGAGCAAGAGCAGAGCCCAAAGGACAGCCGAAGTGTAAGCATACAAGGAAAGCCCAGGGAAAGCCGTTCCCGAACCATCCTTCCCGTACTTGTCTCTGGGGGCGGGCTTTTCCGCAGTGACGTGATTCAGTGTGACTCCGTGATTATTGTTGACAACAAGCAGGCATAGGGCCAGCACTGACTGCATGAGGATGGGAGGATGGGCGCTGCCTTCAGGAGCTGGAGGAGCAGAAGACACGAGCAGAGGTGACGGGTGGTGTGGGCAAGAGTGGGTGAAGAGGGCATGGAGTGGGCATCGAGCGTTACAGGGGACCCACAAGTTTCGATCCATGTGCTATCGGTTCTTTGCTGGGGCCCATTGCTCCTTTTTTTTTTTTTTTTTTTTTTTTTTTTTTTTTTTTTTTTTGAGACGGAGTTTCGCCCTTGTTACCCAGGCTGGAGTGCAATGGCACGATCTCGGCTCACCGCAACCTCCGCCTCCTGGGCTCAGGCAATTCTCCTGCCTCAGCCTCCTGAGTAGCTGGGATTACAGGCACGTGCCACCGTGCCCAGCTAATTTTTTGCACTTTTAGTAGAGACGGGGTTTCACCATGTTGACCAGGATGGTCTCGATCTCTCAACCTCGTGATCCACCCGCCTCGGCCTCCCAAAGTGCTGGAATTACAGGCTTGAGCCACCGCGCCCGGCCCATTGCTTCTTGTGCCTGAGGGAAAGCGGGGTGGGAAGGCCTGCAAGGGAACTAAGTTGCAGAAGTGTTAAACCAGTGTGGTGGCGGTGCTGTCCAGGCAGAGGCAGAAATCATGGTCAGATCCTGAGGAAGAGCAAGATGCGTTCAACCTGTGAGTCCTGGAAGTCAGCCAGAACCTCCCTGTGACTCTGGTTCCCAAGCTCAAGAGGGACCAAGTCCAAGATGGGGAAGCTGTGCACATCATCAGTCAGGAAGAAGCCTTATTTGAAAGGGATTCTGGTGCCTCCTTTTCTTTCCTCCCTGATTCCAGGAAGCCCATTTTTAAAAATATTGCAAAGTGGGTATTTCCTCTCAAAGCCCCATGTTCAGAAAAATACCAGCACGCACTTTAGAAAAAGGGCTACTCTATTTCCAGCCAAGACAAGCACTTATTTATTTATTCATTTTGAACAACTGGTAATGATTTATTTTTCAATGAATGAATGGATTCATGAATAAACAATTCAACGAATGAGTTGTTTAGAGAAATATAAATGAAATAATGTTTGTTTTTTCACATGCAATTTGGGATAGCTAAATCTCCAGCCATATATTGTTATAACTTTAAAAAGAAAAGCAACCAGTGAGTGAGCTTGCCGGAAATGGTATACACATTTGTGTCTTTTGTTTTGTTTTGTTTTTTAATTTTATTTTTGTTTACTTTTAAGCTTGCCAACTTCTTTCCCTGAACAGCATTTGTCTCGTTTTTATACCCACCTACCCTTATATTAGAAACGTACTGCAAACTACTTAGTGATTCCGCTTTGAATTTATAGTCGTATGACTAAGATGTTTTGAATATAAGCCTACCCATATGCCAGATATAAATTTCAGGAACTCTTAATGTCTCTTATTTTACAGAAATGCTAACTCTATCCTGACGTAATTAGGTTGATTAAGAAAATTAAAAGGTTAGGGGCCAGAAAACTAACTTACACAAATACAACAAAAGGAAAAGGTTTTTCCAAGTACCTCTATGCAATGGGAAATATTTCTTTCAAGTACCAAGTCAATTTCTTAAACTGTACAATGTATTCTAATTTAATGGTTTTCAAATATAGTAACAACAAAATGTAATAAAATTAAGACTATAAGAAAACAGAGTAAATGGTATAATTCAAATAATGATTAAAACAAAATGGCATTATGGATGTTGTAATCAATATATAACTATATATTTAAATTTTACTTTACACCCATAAGATCACAGTTAAGGAGGTTAACCATAATTTCAAATTTTATTACCAGTCGTTTGTGCTATTTTATCACACTTGAAAATATCACTCTTATTTTTTACCTTAAACAGTGATCTATAGATTGTTTAGACCATAATAATTAAGGACCTTTTCTTTTCTTCTTCAGGATAATTTTTAAAAACGAATGATATATTGAACATACTACTAAAGAAACTTTACTTTTTGATTATGGTCTCTACATTGAAGATCTTTAGGAATTTTTCTAATTAATTCTCAAATCTTTCCATGACATCTCTGTTCATAGAAATATCATCTTTGAAATAATTTGTGTGACTACTTTACAAATCAAAAATGGATTCACATGACCGAATTATCCTAATCACTAATTTAACATATTCCTAGATATTTTCTATATCAGTTTTCTTGATTATGTCAATAATATAAACACACTCTTAATAGAACAGAATATTTAATTACATCAGTTTCCCATCGACCCACCAAAATCACTTAACAATTATATCGGCCATTTCCACTGATCTGCAGGAGGCTCTTCCACTAATGGCTCCCATGTTTTCCACTGCACCATTTTTCTTGCCAGACTTAGTTCATGTTCAGCCTGAAGAATCACCTCTTCTAACTGACCACCTTGAAGTTGGTCTTCTAATTTTTGAACATCTGGTTCCGCTTTAACCATAGCCAGCTTCTCATTTATAATCTGTTCTGTATATTTTCTATATGCTGCATTTTTAGGGATAGCCTCAAGAACGTCAAGAATCTTTGTGTACAATATTCTTAGCCTCTCGTGTGGAGTATTACACACAGCCAATCCCACAAGGCCAGTGATCTTCTTCAGCACACCCGCCATGATAGCGCCGACGAGTCGATCCACATTTGTGTTATAATGCAGGACAAACCCACAGGGTCTTACCAGATGCATCTGCTGCAGAAGAAAAAGCAAGGGTTGGAACTCAACCGATCCTAGCGGTGCCCCGACACTGAAGATCAAGAACAAAGTCTCCAATTATGTAACAAGTATGTTAACATTCTCAGTGTGTTTACAATCTTTAATAAGGCCTATCTTAGTGGGCACAGCGGCTCATGCCTGTAATCCCAGCATTTAGGGAGGCTGAGACAGGCAGTTCACGAGGTCAGAAGTTCGAGACCGGTCTGACCTACATGGTGAAACCCCATCTCTACTAAAAATACAAAAATTAGCCAGGCGTGGTGACACATGCCTGTAATCCCAGCTACTCAGGAAGCTGAGGCAGAAGAATTGCTTGAACCCAGGAGGCAGAGGTTGCAGTGAGCTGAGATCATGTTACTGCACTCCAGCTTGGTGACAGAGTGAGACTCCGTCGCAAAAAAAAAAACTAAAAAGGCCTATCTTTTTACTTTTCATTTTCTTCCTCTCTCATGGTTCTTGTTCCACCATGTCCTTTGGCTACTTACAAATAGTTTTTCTGATGCTAATATTTTCTAGGACATACTTTGGCCACTGTATGATTTTTCAGTTGTTCCACAGTATGAGAAGATGGTATTCGGAGGCTTCCCTTTGACTGTGGGCACTTGATGCTGCTGAAGTATGTGCCTGATGACTGCTTTTAGTTTTTGTTCTTTGTTGGAGCCTAAAACAAGATGATGCCACTCATTCCAAACATTCCAGATAACTCTGCACTTCCATAGTATACTTCTAAACTATGAGTAAGAGGTTATAAATGAAGCAGTCATTCTCTAGAATGTGTGCTAATGTTTCTCCCAAAGGGGAAAAAAAAGCAACTCTTAACTCCTGGTGGGACATTCTGAAGTTGCTCCAACATAAATGGCCTCCAGCTTCTCTTTTAGCTCATCAATTACATGTTTTGTGGACTCGAGTAAAACTTGAACTGCAGTAAGCCTCCGTGGCTACTCCTTGCAGGTACAGACCATCTGATAGGAAGAATTTGCATAAAATGAGAACTCAAAGCAACTATCAAAATGGTCCCTGCTCCACGCAATGTCCTTCCCGTGTCTAAAGGCATGAATGGAGGCCAGGCACGGTGGCTCACGCCTGTGATCCCAGCACTTTGGGAGGCCGAGGTGGGTGGATTACTTGAAGTCAGGAGTTTGACCAATACGGTGAAACCCCATCTCTACTAAAAATACAAAAATTAGCCTGTAGTCCCAGCTACTTGGGAGGCTGAGGCAGGAGAACCGCTTGAACCCAGGAGGCAGAGGTTGCAGTGAGCTGAGATTGCGCCACTGCACTGCAGCCTGGGCAACACAGCAAGACTCCCTCTCAATAAATAAATAAATAAAAGGAATGTCAATAGTTGTTGAGTAAGCCATCTGTTTTCTTTAACTTGCTTATGGCTTATAAGTATCCAAAATACAACCAACCATCAGGAAGTATTGTAGAAAAATATAATACACAAGTCGACATTTACTATGTTTAAATAGCATATATAATTAATTTTACCTTTAATCAGGCTTGTTATTAGAAACATGTACTTGTGGCCCCCATGATCACAGTGTGTTCATTCAGAAAGCACACAGACTGCCTTCCAGAGACCCATGTAATCTCAAGACAAAGCTCTCCAAGATCCCTGAGACTGACCTGGGTGGACATGGGTTCCCTATGATGACAGGCTCCTGAAGAGCCAGGAGGCTTTTGCTGGCTGGGGCTGAGCTGGTGGTTCTGGGGTGGGCTCCCTCCATGGAGACACAAAGTCAGACACTCCCATCCAGGAGATAAGGCCTGGCCCCATCACTCACTGCCCTTCCTAATACAAGATTCTGGACTGCAGGTGCCTCTGGGATCTGACAAAGGTGTCACTTCTGTTTCTTTTCCCCCTTCTACTTCCTGCTTTCAACATGGAGCAAGAGAGCCTCATTTACATGTAACTATAATATACACACACGCAGAGAGAAAGAGATTTAGGGAACTGGCTCACACAACTATGGGGACTGTGGCAAGTCCAGAATCTGCAGGGAAAGCTGGCAGGCTGGAAATTCAGGTAAGAGTCAATGTTGCAGTCCGTCTTGAATCTGAATTCCATGGAGCGGGAGACTAGAAACTCAGAGTTTCCATGTGACAGTTTTACAAAGAATTCCTTTTTTCTCAGGAAACCTCAGTCTTTGCTCTTAAGGCCTTCTACTGATTGGATAAGGCCCATGCACGTGATGAAGGGAAATACACTTTACTCAAAGTCTACTGATTTCAATGTTTATCACATCTGGCCAGGTGCAATGGCTCACGCCTGTAATCCCAGCACTTTGGGAGGCTGAGGTGGGTGGATTACCTGAGGTCATCAGTTTGAGAGCAGCCTGAGCAACGTGGTGGAACCCCATCTCTACTACAAATAAAAAAAATCAGCCAGTGTGGTGGTGGGCTTGCTACTTGGGGGACTGAGGCAGGAGAATCGCTTGTACCTGGGAGGTGGATGTTGCAGTGAGCCGAAATTGTGCCATTACACTCCAGCCTGGGCAATAAGAACAAAACTCCTTATCAAAAAAAAAAAAAAAAAAAAAAAAAAGAGGGCCAAGCACAGTGGTTCACACCTGTAATCCCAGACCTCTCGGAGGCGAAGGCAGGTAAATCGCCTGAGACCTGAGATCAGGAGTTCGAGACCAGCCTGAGCAACATGAAGAAACCCCATCTCTATTAAAAATACAGAAAATTACTCGGGTGTGGTGGTGCATGCCTGTAATCCCAGCTACTGGGGAGGCTGAGGCAGGAGAATCACTTGAGCCCGGGAGGCAGAGGTTGCAGTGAGCAGAGATCACACCATTGCACTCCAGCCTGGGCAAGAAGAACAAAACTCCATCTCAAAAAAAAAAAAAAAAAAGTTCATCACATCTAAAATAATACTTTCATAGTAACATGTAGGCTGATGTTTAACCAAACAACTGGAAACCACAGCTTGGTTAAGTTAACACAAAATTAAACATCACGAGTATTGTGCAGCCTTGGTAAACCTTTCTATGCCTTAAATTCTCATTTGGAAAATAAGGATAATGGATAGCACCTGCCTCATAAATCTGTGGTAAGGATTAAATGTTCAAAAACATGTAACCTGCTCTGATCCAGTTTTCTGTGCCCCAAACTACTCTGTGTCTGGTGTGTCTTTGGCACTCACGTCGTGCTAAGTGGTCACTGACTCAGCAGCTCGTAGACTACATTTTGCTGCTTACCTCCTTTTTATTCTGAAGACAACCATCAGGTCTAAGGCTTCCAGTACTTTCTCTACGCAACAAGTCCATGCATGCCAGGCCTGCCGACGAAGCTAATTTCACCACTGCTTTCGCACCTTCAGTTTGCCTGGGCCTGGCCCCACACCAGCCCCTAGAAATACCTGAGGCACATGGACTGAATTTTAAAATGCAGCAGTAACCTCCACCTCCCAGGTTCAAGCGATTCTCCTGCCTCAGCCTCCCAAGTAGCTGGGATAACAGGTGTGTATCGTCACGCCCGGCTAATTTTGTATTTTTCGTTGAGAAGAGGTTTCTCCATGTTGGTCGGGCTGGTCTCGAACTCCTGACCTCAGGTGATCTGCCCACCCCAGCCTCCCAAGGTGCTGGGATTACAGGCATGAGCCACTGTGCCTGGCCTTCATAGTAGGTATTTTTAAAACACCTAGAGTGTCAGCTGTTAAATATGCCTCATGAGAAGAGCAAGAATATGGATATGCCAAAAAAAATTTATACTTGGGTTGTGAGTCAATGAATATTTTTTTTCCTTAATGGGTTTTGCCATAGTAACCTCAAAATCAACTGTGACTCCACCGGCTGTCAAGGACATGTGAACTGCACACACATCTGCTGTGGTGAAGCCCTCCTTGTGACCTCAGGGTGGGACCACGCGCTTTCCCAAATCCTTGAGTTCAGCATTGGAGGATGAGGCAGGATGGAATACCACATGACATGTCACAAATGCCAGGCTGGAAAGAAATCCCCGAGTGGCGCATTCCCACTCAGCAGCTGAGACTGATTTCAGAAAATTCACGGTGATCGCTTTGTGATTTTTCTGTCTCCATGTCATGAATGGCTAGAGAGAAGAGTTAACTGGGAAACTGGGACACAGCAGACATTTGAAGCCTCCTTTTTCTGTTGTTCATTCAGCTGTCAAAACAGGCAACCTCACTCGCTCACAGAAGCGTACGTTGGGAAATACGAGAGGAGATAGAAAAGCGTAACCGATTCTGAGCTTCCTCAGGGGATAAACTCAATCTTTGAGAGCAGAGAATAAGTCGGAGAAGCTGCTGCACCAACCCACAGGCATCGCTGTGCATTCACCAAGGCGACAGTATCCAGGACCTCGGAGGCGCCAATGAGAAGCCCGCAGCAGCGGCCCTGAGGACAGCTGGTGGCTGCCGGAGACACAGGTGACATGCCACATCCAGACAAGGCTGCAGCCTGCAGGGGGAGGTCAAGCTCACATTGTGCTTCGGCTCACAAACGTTCAATGCATTGAAAAGAGAATCACATGGGAGAAGTAGAAAGAAATGCTGGTCATGTATTTAGTATAACTAGAATTTTTCACTCCCTGGTATCATGAAGCCCAACTCCCCGAAATGGCAGGCTTGGAAACTGAGGCTCTGAGCCAAAATGACTTGCTCCAGGCCCGGTGTTCTGTGCCTTTTCCAGAGCCTATGGCCTTCTAAGATCTGGTGTATCTCACTCACAGAGTGCGTGTCCCCAGACACAAACCTGAGATGGGCGGGCCTGGTTTTTAAGCTTAAGGATGAAAACACGGGCCTCCCACCTACCCCTACCCACTGGTTCTTCGCCTTGGATAGGAAATGTCTGAACCACCACCAAGCTGACTCAGCCCGCACAGCATGGTCATCATGGCAGCAACGTAGGTAGGATCCAGGCTCTGTGGTTGAT